AAGCTCATTGACTGGCCAAAGTGGAAGGATGGTGGAAAGCTGTTGCATGTGATGGCGAACAACGCTGACTTGATCGATGATGACTTCCGTCAAGACAGCTTCAATTTCCTGCTGAACAACGTACAAAGTCTGCGCTTCTAGAAGCATGTGATGGATGAAAAAGAGAGTGCCGGGCGCGCGGTGAACATTGAGCTGGGCTGCTGGATCCGTTGCGGGGGTTTGATACCTACCAGCCTAAGGTGTCCATAATCTAATTGAACGCCGTCTTCTACTAGTTATCCTTTGTGTTACAAAACTTTGCCGTGGTGAACGATCTACTATAACCCAGATGAGTCCCTTCATCTGATGATCCGTCCCGCAACTGAGCATGACGTCTATGATGGGACCATGTCTACTATCCATGCGTTTCCATCCTTCCGTGAAAGTTTCGACGAGTTCAAACACGTCCCATGTAATCCATCAAAAAGGCTAAACGTGCGGTCAAGCGGTACAGTTACCAGCTTCTTGGTTTCCATCAAATTCTAAGCAATGTCCTCCAATTAAGTTTCCTCTATCTGAGTCACTTTCACCCATGGTTGAAGAGGGGTAGGTTGAAAATTCTGCTTTCTTGTTGTTCGCTATTCCCTGTCATCTTGCTGGGAATTCTGCCTATCACATGTACTATCTGCATACCGGTTCAGGAAATGTGCCCAAAAATAGTGACTATCGCAGACTACAAACAACCACTGCGTGCTGTAGCAAGACCTAAGTCTCTGCAAAGTATGGTCGCTCAGCCTGAGGTGTGATCCGCAGCATATGCCGCTTCGTCGTGCCCTCCTCCACCCTGAAGTCTCTGAGTGCAGAGTGCTGGGTGTTTCTGTTGTCGTAAACCACGACCGTTCCGGGCTTCCAGTGCACCCTCAAGTGCCAGTCCTGTCCTCTCTCAATGTGATCAAACAAGAAGTTCAGCAAGGAAGTGCTCTCTTCTTGCTTCATCCCAACAATCCTCTTGGTGTACAGTCTGTTTACATACAGAGAGAGCTGTTTCGTGACAGGATGTGTTCGCACAACGGGGTGGACCGTCTCGATTGGCTCTCTGATGTAGCGATCCCGATGATCATGCACGGACGCTTGCGAGAAACCGGAGTGAACGGCTTTCAAGCCGTGCAGCAGTGTGCGATAGGTGTCTGACAAGGCATAGTAGGCTGCCGTGGTCGATAGATACAGGGTGTCACCTCCAGATCGCGGGGTGCTCAGCGGAAGGAACGTTGTTGTGCCCATGCCGTTGCTTGAAACAATCAGTACCAGACTTGTGTCTCTACATGGTCGTGACTTACATCTCATAGCTCATGTCACTGTGCCACTTCACACTTGTAACATTGTCTTTAATCTCGTTGTCTACTGCACCTGCACTATGTTCGGTGGTGTTCAGCGAGGGAGCTGGCATTGGGGAATCATGACTGACTCACGTAAAGTCCCGGTACACGGGGAGAAGCTCGGGGTAATCCTTGATTTGACCACCCATCTGATGGACATGAAGAGGGCCAAAGTGCTGTCCGTACTGTCTCTGCCTTTCGGGTCCAATGTCGGCGAAGTCCTGGTCCCGGAAGAGGACGACGCCCCGCTCGGCGGCCAGAAGTGCAAGTTCATCTAGTTGGGCGGGGTTCAATTGACTGAGCTGAATCCCATGAATCTCGGTCCCAATTGCCGGGGTAATCTCTTCATGTGTTACGCCATGGGCCGAGAGAAAGCTCTTCTTCTCGGGATCTGCTCTCAGCCCGACATCAACGTGTTCAAACTCCTCAAGAGGCGGTTGAGTGCCAGGTGTAAAATGTGGGAGGTAGCTTTCATATTTGTACTGTCGATAGTGTCAGTAAACAATTCGAAGACGATAGCATTCATCTTTCTGCATACCTTCTCTCTCTCGTAGTCGATCGAAGTTTCTGCACGTAATTGCAGTTTCTGAAGTTGTTCAGTCGCAGTCTGCACTTGCGTTGCCATGGTGAAAATCGATACCATGGAAATTGACTGGATAAATCACTACTCAATGCCGGCAAACCGTCTTAAAAGCACGAGCGGGTGAAGTTCTCCGAGGAAACGTTGCAAGCACGCCATCTCGTGTCGCTCGTCGCGACATCATCCTCGCAGATTCGTCATGCCCTCTGCAACTCTCACATTGGCCAAAGATTCCATCTCCCACACTGATCTTATCATTCTCCACAGGCCGGGCGCATGAAAAACCTCCGAGAAAGATATTCTACACGGTAGATCTAATGTTATCTCGTTTTCATCATTATTCCCGAGGGTTCTTACAAATAGAGCCTCCTTCGGTCGATTGCTGGCGTCCCCCCGGGCTGTCGGTTGCAGGTTCCGCCTGCAGCATGACCCCCACGGTAGCGTCGTGATCGTAGGGAATAATTGTGTACTCTTATCCCGCTGCCATTCAACTCACCATAGAAACCAAAAGTGGCGTGCTATCGAGATGCAGTCTTTCCCTTTTCTTTGTCGGCCATCGGCCTTGCCCCGTGAACGCATATATGAAATGCCGACTTTGAACATCCAGTCAGCATGGCGCCTCCATCGTACCAGTATCAAACCTTCTCAGGCGAAGTCATGTCTAGCGACGGCAAGCAAGACACAGTGGTATCGGCAGATGCACAGGAGGACGCTCAGAGTACCCAACCGTCCCGGGGAATCTTCTCAAACGTCGCGCGAAAGATTTGGGGCGATGACCCTCGGGAGAGGAAGTACATCCAAAAGCTTGATAGCTTCCTATTGTAAGCCATTCCTGCTGCCAGTTGGAAGAAATGCGATTGACTTGAACGAGTTCGTATGTTTTGTTGGGATATTTCATCAAGTACCTAGACCAGACGAACTACAGCAATGCCTTCGTCAGCGGTATGCAAGAAGAATTGGGTCTTTATGGAAATGAGAGAAATCTCCTCAACACGTATTTCAATATCGGCATCATCCTGGGTACTATACCCGCGCAGATGATTCAGTTGAAGTGGGTGCGCCCGTCGATATGGATTCCTGCCTGCGAGCTGGCGTGGTCGGCCTTGACGATGGTCATGGCTAGTGCTAAAAACGTTGAAACTGTAAGTCATCTGCCCCTCCGCTGTGGTTTGTATCCTGACCGTCCTCTTAGCTGTACGCATTGCGTTTCTGCATTGGGCTTCTCGAGTCGTGCAGCTTCCCTGGCTTTGCAAGTATCTTGGGGAGCTGGTACGGAAAGACCCAACTCGCGAAGCGCATGGCCCTGTTTGAGCAGACGGCTGCGATCGCTGGAATGTTCAGCGGGTACTTACAGGCTGGGTTGTACACTGGCATGAATGGGACTGCAGGCCTGTCGGGTTGGCGCTGGCTATTCGTCATGGATGGTGAGAGTATCGCTTGAATGGTTGGAACCTTTTACTAACCGACGGAAGGGGTCATCTCGATACCGATTGCCTTATACGGATTCTTCGCCCTCCCAGACTTGCCTCACAATACGCGAGCATTCTATCTCAAGAAAGAGGTGAGTCCTTCATCGCAAACAAGGAGCGTCCGGTCGGTTGACACTGATTGCAGGACCGCGAGTATGGGCTGGAAAGAACCAAGAAGATGGGTCGCAAGCCGCCTTCAAAACTCACACTCAAGGCTATCAAAGACATCTATACATCTTGGCAGCTTTGGGCTTTCATCCTGCCCTATCTCATGGTTGCTGAAGCTGGGTCTGGTACTGGGTACTTCAATCTCTATCTGAAGTCCGAGGGCTACTCGGTCGTCCAGACGAACGTTCTCCCGACAATTGGTAAGCAGTATAAAGGAGTAGCTCACAGCGGCCCCTGGATTGTTGACTCCTGGAATACATGATCAAGGAGCAATCTGACTGGGTACTACAGGAAACGCAATTCAAATCGTAGCGGCTTTTTCGGTAGGATGGCTCTCGGATGCGACAGGTAACCGCGTCCTGACCGTGGTCTTCGTGCAAGTACTCGTCTTGGTATCGAACATCATATTGTCGATATGGAAAGTGCCCAAAGCAGCACTTCTTGCGGCCTTTTACCTGAGTTACACGGGCGGAGCAGCACAACCGGTGGTGATCAGCTATGGGCATGAGATCACGCAGTGGAACGCTAACCTGCGACAACTTCTTGTTGCCACAGGAAACATCTTTACGTATACCTTCAGCGCCTGGATGCCCGGTAGGTTGTCCCTTTCGCATGCTTTCGTGTCAAAGCACATGCTAATTTCGGCGCCCAGTGGTGTTATTCCCAACATATGATGCGCCAAAGTACAAATACGGATATCAGATCCTCATTCTTTTCGGTGGTCTTGCGGTCATCGGAATGTACCTGCTAGACCATTTGTACAAAAGAGATCTGTAAGTTGATCGATCTAGGTATCGAGAACCCTGAATATTGACTGACTTTCGTCTAGAAAGCAAAATCCTCATCTATATGAGCTTGACGGTGAAACTGTCGGCGACAATGACTCGCAGAATGAGAACGTCGCAGACGGACTGCGACCTTAAGCGAATGGATCCAGTGGTTCATTTGTGCTGGCTATGGAAACCGGCTGAACCGGCCAAACCCGAAACATCTCCGGTCGGGGAGCCGTACCGAAAGCCTGCGATCATTTAGGCACGGTGTTGAACGACAAAGTCAATACGAAGTTTAAACAGGATACCAAATTGAATTTGCCAGCGTCATGAGATGTTCAGTGGCACAACGCGACAAACTTTACGATTGCATGAGACGGCGAACATGGACGGTGTGAGAAAACAAGACAATTGTCGGAAGGCGGGTCCGATCAATCGGCAGCTTTCGGAGCAGCGATGCTCCATCAACACGTGGCAGAGCCGATTGACAAGACCCGCTCCAGCTGCCGCTACCGGTGTCGAACCGGGCCATTGGGAGGCGGGGCAGAGGCGGCCATGGACCAAAAGTGCCGGACCAGCTCCTGGTCAGGTTTACTCCAGCACTTGGTCCCCGAATAATCATCAAGTATGCGCAATGGAGAGGGATGTTTAACTTGGGATGTTACAGCGGACCACTGAACTTTCCGCGGGCAACCGGGTAAGTAGAATAACACGCGGGGACAGCTGCTGGGAAAACCTCTGGGCACCGTCATCGTGTCCTCACGGCCCTGCACAATTCAGATACAGGCTCATTCGGCGTTATCAAACCCAGACACTACATCAATCATCTACACAGAATTTGCCAAATATTAGTAGTGAGATTGCTCACGGGGGTGGCCTATGCGGCAAAATTTTCCTTCGCCGCGAGTGGGAGTGTTTGTCTTCTGTCACATGCGTCATTCCTCCCCTGCATGTAGAGCACACGCTCTCTCCTCTGCCCCATTCTGTGGCCCCCTCAGGCGCAAACCCAATGTAACCTTGCCCAGAGACACGACGACGACCACAAGGCAGCGAGATGTAAGCCAAAGTAATCCGACAATGGAGAGAGGAATCATGAGGCCGTGCTATTTAACATGATCAAGTCGAGGAATAAGAAGACCGGCGTCGTCCGTTGCTTCACCCCATCCCCGGCCGTCCAGCTCCACCCCGGGACATTCTCTAGCTCTAATCCCTTAGTCGTGTGCTCTCCTCAGCTCCCGCGATGCCGTTGGCGCCAGGGGTGGTGGTCGAAGGGCCGTCCAAAGGGTTCCCCATAAAAGTCACGCCACTGTTCCCCATCGGCCTTGAATCATCCCTCCTTTCTCGGGGGCTCTCCCTCCAACGCCCGCTTCCTATTTGCTGCGCCAGCAACGCCCAAAGGACCTACTGCACCCTCTTGACTCTCGCTCTGTTTACGGCAGCGCGCAGGAAAACAACGTGGGTTGCCGAGCCTCTGCTGCAGACAGGTGACAGCTCGCTCTGGCCGGGTCACCTCACCCCGCGCGCTGCCCGAGGTAGAGTACAAGACGAAAATTGGCAGGAATTCGGGCACCTCTGCACCCCACGTAAGACGTCGTATCCGAACAGTTGTATGGCTGGGCCCTTCGTTGCCTTTGTACAACAGCAGACAGAGACACCTGTACCCAAGTCCGAGCGGCCTCGAAAGCCTTCGGGGTCCCACTTTGCCGCCGGGCCGCTGTCGGTGAGGTAATCGGCTGGGGGACTTCCTAAATAGGTCTTTCAGGTATCATCCCCGGGTTCCCTCTTCGTGAATAATTTCTACGCCTTTCCTTGTCGTAATCCTTCTTCCCTCTCTCCAACCCGTAATTTTCCCTTTCTTCCTCTTTCCCTCCTACACACCTCACCTTTCCCTCTCTACCGTTTTTTCTTTCTACATTTCCTTCTGTGACAGACCGACTGCGTATAGACCGGGTTCCAGAACACCAAATACATTCCACGTCAAAGGTGAGTTTCCGGCACGGCGCATTCTCGCATTCGGCCTTCCGTTCGGGCCAAGATGCCCCGCGGTCTTTTCCGGCGCTGACTCCTGTCTCTTCCTAGAACCCGACGATCGCGAAAAATTACACAATAAACAATACACATAAGAAATACACATAAAGAACACATAAGAAAACCGTCAAAATGGTCCTCATCACCCGCGCCATCTCCCTCACCAACTTCCTCGTCGCCTCCTCCGCGCTCGGCTTCCAGGTCTTCGTCCTGTACCCCTGGCACGAGCAGCTCTCCCACGACTTCGAGGAGCTCAAGAAGGAGCACCTGCGCGTGCTCGACTACGTCAAGGGTGTTGACGCCGGCTTGAGGAGAGGACAGGGCGGCGCGCCCGCGGGACAGTCTCTCCTGGAGCGTCTGGGCTACAAGTCGTAAGCACAAAGCGTGACTGTAGCCCACGTTCTAGAATCTCGTCCCCTTTTTTTCCCTCCTCCCCCCTTTCTTGGGGTACTTTTTTGGGTCGGTCGGTCTGTCTTATTACAACTTGGTCTTCGTTTGTACGATTGCATGCGATACTCCCGAAATGCGAATTTAGAAAGAGTTTATACCCCCAAATGCAGCCTGTCTCCGTGCTTGTACCATATTGTCCGTTGTTTGTCGTCGCAAGTTGTTATTATGATTGTAGGATTGCAATTTCCAATCTCTCCACCCGTAGTTTAGGTTCCAATTTCGTGTTTCTCCGACCTTCAATTCCGCGACTACCGGCACCGACTTCGCACGCCACCTGGCCGTCTCTAGTGGAGTTCCACGACAGCGCCGATCAAACATCGCATTACCGCACTGAAAACAATCTTTTTGCCAGAGCTGGGTGATTGAGGGGGTTCATGAGGAGCGCGTTGAATGCGGTTGGCGGCATTCTTAACTCCCGGATCATAATCTTCCGCTATTTGGCCTCTAGTTGGCGGTTTCCCCGGAGGCGACCGTCAACTCCTTTTAGAGAACCTGTGTCTAAAGCACCATGCCAGTTGAATAATGCATTATCTTAGTCGCCCAAACAAATCCTGCGTTACTTGTGACGCAGTCAGGGACATTCGGCACCTGCTCGGCAGCACCGGCAAAGAGAAAGGCTACTCCACCTCCTCCAGGTGTTCGCCGGAGCTCGCTCCGACTCGGACCCGCCCGGGTGCTGGCGAAATCGGGTCGACGCGGGTTTTCCCCGAACGAGCTAGTAGACTGCCGGCACCGACTTCCCGTCCCCAGACCCAGGTCTTCGGATGGGATTTGTTCTGTTTGGTGTGTAAATGTCGCCTACACCTCTTAAAGACGTAAAATCGGGCCGCCTACGAAACAGTGCTTCCTACCATCCATTTGAGGACGGTACCCAAAGACGAGTGTATGCCATGCTGAGCGAGATTTTCATAAATGCTTCATATCCACTCACTGCACGGGAAGTAAAAGGCGACGATGCGAACGTAGCAGGCAATTCCATATTCAGCAGATTGCTTCCATAGAATGCAACTATCTCTGAAGAATCCATCCATATCCACATCGAAAGGGGTATCTCAAACTTCAAATCCCAAGTCCATCGCCAGCGAAACATCACGCAAAGTACATGGTCGCTGCAACCCACTCACAAACTTCCGTCGCACTCCTCTCACGTATCCTAACTCGTAGCATCTCGAATGCAACCGATAGTTCATTTTCAAACGACTGACAAACTTCACGCAAACAGCTCGTTTCATACGCTTAAGCGTAGCTTTCAGGCTCCGCAGGCCAGGTGCAGATCCAGGCAACGCCGAAAATCAGCAGCCACATAATCAGCCAAGTCGCATACCCGCCCCCGCTGCCGAGTCCGAAGAAGCTGCCGACCAGAAGCGCGGCGTGGATGAATGCGGTGACGAGCAGGAAAATATCGAAATGCAAGCGCCCCTGTAAGACAAATCACAATCAGCATGCGCTTGGAAAATTCCCAAACATGGGCCAAGCCGGCACCACCCTGCCGGACCAAGCAAAGCCAACACCAATTAAAAATCGCCCAAACGCAGGCGGGAGATGGAGAGGGGGCCTGATAACTCACCAGCATGATCCCAAACACCTTCCGCCGCCCCTCCGCCTGCCCGATGACGGCCAGACACCACGCGATGAAGAAGAAGCCCAGCACGGCGAGGATGATGCCGATGATCCAGCTGACGACGCGGCCGGCGATGATGTCGCGCACGATGCTGAGGATGGACAGCGCGGTGCGGATGCCGAGGATGATGTACATGCAGATGCGGCGCAGCAGGGCCTGCTTGTCGGACGTCTTGAGCGAGTAGGCCTCCCAGGAGAAGGACCAGCAGCCGCGCATGTTGGGGCAATTGCGGTCTTTGAAGGAGCCGCCTGCGGCCGGGGCGGCGGCGCCGGGTTGGCCGGCGTATTGTGTCATGTTTGGGCGGTTGTTTTTCGAGGACGTCGGGAGGGTTTTTGCTGAGAGGGGGGAAAGGGAATCGCGAGCTGGCGGCGGTGGGATGGGGTTGGGAAATGGCTTTATATAAGAATGCGGCCAAGCGAGATGGGATTCTTGGTGGAAGAGGGGTGTTTGGTGTTGGACGTGGTGGGTAGGGGCGGAGCTTTGCGAGTTTGGGGTGGAGGAAGGGGATCGCTGTCTCACGACAGGGGAGGCTTGCTAGCCTTCAGGTAGGCACGCAGGATATGGGATCTTGGGGTATTTTGGCGAGTGCCGTTCTTGTTTGTTTCTGCCTGGATGGGCGGGCGGGTGTAAGGGGCGTGAAATGTTTGCTACGACCTGTGCGAGGCTGGGTATGCATGATGTCGTTGGTTGGTGAGACGATGAGCATCGCAGCAAGTATTACAGCTGTTGGTTCCGTGTTCAGGGTAGTGTTGGACCAGAGGAACCCTGCCTGCTGGACAAAGAGGTTGTGCTGTTGGCAATGAAGATGCGACTCTTGCCGCCGGTTCATACCCATGATCTTCAAAAACCAGGACTTTTCTGGCAGACAAAAATAGAAGAGTCGTACGGTTGGTTGGTTGGTTCGAGTTGAGTGAGTGACAAGCAAACCCCAATCGTCTGAGCCCCCGAACAAGCACCCACACCACCACCAGCTGTGGATGACACCCTCAACCTGTTTAAGCTTAATCTAGCTGAAGCTCCATCGGGCGCCGTCGAACGTTAGCTCGCGCTATTCGCAGGCAACGTCAGTGATATTGGTTCTTGGTTAGCTACATTTGAGTCGCAGGCAACGGGCTTCGAAAATTTGCTGTGAAGGCAGCAGCAGCTGTTCTTAGTGTATTGTCGGCAAATGTCATTTCATTTTCAGGGGAGTCTCCGACCCGCTCCCGTTAAGCAATTTCAGCCCTGCATCACTGCGGAGGCGCCCACCAGGCAGCGGCTATTGGCCCCCTCTGTGCACCCTTGGCAGATGATCCTTCGCTTGGGGGCTAAGAAGGCAGACGTCGGCTTCAGCCACATCCTCCGCTCCTTTGCAGTAAAATGCAAAACGTAGTGTCACAGCTTGGCCAGGGTTATCTTCCAATGGATAAGGTGTATGTTACAATGCTTTAGCTTTAGATACAGATGAGATACGGCGTGGCATCAGGACCGGCCCGCCTTTGCTTCAGCGTCTGCGGCCGGCCCCCGGGACCGGGCCGAAGGCGGCTCCCCAGCCGTCGTCCGCCGCTGGTTTCGGCTTCGGTGCCTGCGGCTTGAACGCCCGGGCTGCAGGCTTGGCCTTAGCCATCTTGGCCGCATCAGCCTGTCGAGTCTTCTTCTCAGCCAAGGCGACGTTGCGCTGCCCCCAATCCGCCTTGATCGGGACGGATGGCCTTTTGGCCTTTCCGGACGTTGTTGTCACCGCATTCATCTGCCCGCCGGCCGGTCCGTTGGCTGGCGTCGATTTCGTCTTCTTTGGGGCCGGCTTTCCGTTCTGTTGAGACTGCGGCACTTTCTTGGCCCCGACAATCCCCGACTTCTTGTCCGCATCCGCTTTTGCCGTGTCGGTGGAGGGTTTGGACTGGCGAGTTAGGGCAATAGCTGGTTTCCTGTGGTCT